CAAAGGACACTATCAAAGAAGTGAGAAGACAATCCACAGAATGGGAGAAAATGTTTGCAAATTATATACGATAAGGGATTTGTATCCAGAATATTTAAAGAACTCTGATAACTCAATAATAATAAGATAAACAACTCAACTGAAAAATGGGCGAAGGACTTGGATAGACATTTCTCCAAAAAAGATGTACAAATGGTCAATGAGCACACGAAAAGGTGCTCAACATCATTAGTAATTAGGGAAATGCCAATCAAAACCACAATGAGATGCCACTTCACTCACAAGCTGTCTATAATAAATAGACAACAGTAAATGTTAGTAAGCCTTGAAGAAACTGAAACCCTCGTACATTGCTGGTAGGAATGTAACATGGTACAGCTGGTGTAGAAAACAACTTTGAAGTTCCTAAAAATGTTAAGCAGAGTTACTACTCTCAGGTATACAACTAAGTGAAATGGAAACATACATTCACACAAAAACCTGTACTCCATCGTTTATAGTAGCATTATCCATAGTAGCCCCAAAGTGGAAACATCACACATCTATGAATGGTAATGGCACATCCTTACAGTGGAATATTATTCTACATAAAAAGGAATGAAATACTAATAGCATGATGTGACATGGTGAACCTTAAAAATATGTTCAGTAAAAGATGCCAATCACTGAAGTCTACATACTGTATGCACAAAACTTTTCTAAATCTATAGAGAGGTTGCCAGTTTGATTCCTGGTCAGGGCACATGCCCAGTTTTGGGTTCAATCCCCAGCAGGGAGGCATACAGGAGGCAGCAGATCGATGTGATGTTTCTCTCTCTCTCCCTCTCTAAAATCAATAGATATCTAAAAAATTGTGGTGATGTTTGCACAACCCTGAATACATACAAACTATTGAATTTTACATTTTAAGTAGGTGACTTGTATGTGAATTGTATCTCACAAGTGTTACAAAATCAATTATGACATCATAATCAGTTGTAGCAATGACTATAGCAGATCTGTGTATCTTCTCTTTGCTTATGTGTCTATCAGCTCATTTTTCCATCTCTCTAGTGTTTTACAAAGCATTGATGATGACGATGATGCCTTACTATTTAAGTCTTTCAGCTACGGAATATTCAAGTGGAATTTTGACTGGAATTAACAGTGACAGACATGATGACTATAGAACTTTGTTGTCCCTCTTTCAGGAAGAGAATGGCACGTGTGTGTGAAGGATACTTGCACAGTGTTAGGTGGAAGCATGAAGTTATTGGAGTTGGATGGAAACTGAATATGGTGGAAAGATGTGTATGGGTGATGAGTAGCCAAATGGGGTGGACTGTGCTGGTTACTTACTGTATCTGAGCCCCGAACCCACTCCATTTTGCTCTGTGATGCTGTTGCATCCTGAAAACTATACTTCCCAGACGTCCCTGCCAGCTGGCTTCCTGTTAAGGTCACACTAGAAGGGGCCAGCTGAGGGCGACTGGAAAGTGAAAGGGAAGGGACTTCCTTCTGCTCTCCAGCACTAGTCATTAGTAGCAGGTATTTAACTCCAGCATTGACCATTTTTGCACCTATCTTCTTAGAAGTTACAGCACCAACTGCTTAGAGCCCAACCCTTTCCCCCATTGCACACCAGAAATCCGTGTATTGGTCTCATGGGGCCCCTCCCTGCAGGTTTCTGGCCTGCTTCCAAGATGATCCCCAGTGATTCCTACTGGTACTGGCATTAGCCACCCTGTGTGGTCCCCTCCATGTTGAATCAGGGTTGGCCAGTGTGACCAATGGAATATGGTGACAGTGATGCTGTGTGATTTCTGAGACTAGGTTATGAAAGGCAGTGGAACTTCCACTTTGCTCTCTTGGGATATTCACCCTAGAGGATGCCGTGAGGACACTCAAGGAACCCTGTGGACAGAAGCCCAACGCCTCAACAGCCAGCTCCAACTTGCATCCATGAGTGAGCCACATACAAGAGTCCTTAGAAGTGGATCCTTGGGCTCCAGCTGCTCACTTAAAAGACTGAAACTCCAAGCAATACCTGATCGCAACCTCAGGAGAGACCCCAGACCAGAACCACCCACCTATGCTGCTCCTAAATTCTTGACACAGAAATTGTGGGCCATGAGCAATCACTGTTGTTTTAAGCCATCAGGTTTAAGGGGTGATTTGTTGAACATCAGATAACTAAAGTCATCTCCTCTTTCCTTAAAATGTCATTGTTTCAACAGCTGTGTGAACAATTCCCTAGATTAAATGCCCTATATTGGAAATAACTAGTGTGGTTTCTATTTTCCTGATCGAACACTAAGTTTTGGGAAGATAACATGAAATGAAAGCAACACATTCCCTAGTATCTGCTCTTCCTCTCAGAAACCCAGCTTTGGGAGTCTTCACTTGTCTGGCTGGACCACCACTTCCACTACTGCCCTCTGCATCTTCCCCTCCTCCCCCTCCCTTCTCATCTTCCCACCAGGCTTCTAGTCACAAAGCTCTGCTCTCCTCCTATTTCCTCAGGGCCCTCAGACACACATTGTGACACAGGATCTGGG